CATCTTGAAGGACGACTTTATTCTTGGTATTATCACCAACTAAACACCATTTAGACATATAAATCCTCATTCTCACAACCAGACACGTCGAGTACAACTATCAAATCTCGTACTTAAAGACTCAAAATACTAATTCATGAAATCTTTTCGTTCAAACTATCCGACCAATGTCTTTACCTTTCTTGGTGAATAGACCCACTCGAGGGTGAATAGACCCTACCATATTAATACAAGAAAACAGAAACACAAATCATGGTTCCTACCTGACTAAGCTAACCTTGTCTTGTCTTGTCTTTCAAATTAATACCTTAAAAAACAGTTGTTCTTCACGTGATTTGCATAAATACACAACTTTTGGTACAATTGTGAGGTCCTGTCTGAAATGCACATGATTCTTCCAACTGATTTATTTAATAAATAGCTGTCATTAAAATGATATGGGCCATATAAATAATAATCCTACAGACATATTATTTTTTTTTTTAAAAAATGTTTTAGAAATAGGGAGGAAAAAACATGGCTCTTCCTGAACTTCTCAGCCATGCCAGCTACAATGTGACTCGGCTACTTTTTTTTTTCTCCATCTCGTAATGGGGAAGTATTACGGTATCAAAATATTTTTATGTTGTTTAAATTATCATAAGTGATACTCTATCATTGTTATAGAACCGTGATTCTTTAATTCTCTCTATTATTTATTGACAATTTTAAGAAGATGATAATCTTAATTTTCAAAAGTTTGAAAATTACTCATTCACGAAGAGGTTTATGGTAATTTCAAAGAATTCCACCTCGACTAGTACAATTACCAGATTCGATTGTTTATCTCTTGAAAACTTGGTATTAATATTTTCCAACTCTATAGAATATCTATATTAGTCTTTGAAGATTTGAATTGTGTCGAGTCTTAGAAGTCACATAACGGTTCCTTTCCTCTACTTTCATTTATCTTTTGAAGGAGTGGTATTACTCTTTTCAAACTCTATATATTGATTAATGTTTGAAGGTTAAAGTTGATTCAGCGGTTAATTTTGACTTTTAGTAACTCATAAGTTTTAGATGTAATATTTCTCATACACTCTAATAGTCAATCACCTTTATTCCTTAGCGAACATGTTCTAAATACACTTAGACTATGGTGACGAGCTCGAGAGAATAATCTAATGGTTAAACATACAAACGAGTTCTTTCGGGGTAATCTAAGGGTGGGTTTAGTAGAATATATGAAAAAATAAAAGGATAATATGCGGGAGTGATACACTTTTTATTCTTCATTGGAGAAATCCTTCATTCTCTCCTTTGTGTTTGGTAAGAGAGATGAAAAATAGAAAATATCGATTTTTGGTAGGATGGAAAAAGTATAGATGAATATTTTATCATGATATCTATATATAAAATTAATGTATTCATAATATATAATAGATAAACATGATATATACACATATTAAATAACATATATAGGTAAATAACATATATTTCAACACACATAATTAATTTTTCATTAAATTTTTTTTTAATTTTAGAGAGATTAATTTTGGTGTATTAAAAAAAATTAATTCGTCCACATTTCTATCCTTCCTATTTTTCTTCTTTGTCAAATATCATGTTTTATATATCTCTTGAACTTTTTATTTTTCCAACAAAGCATAAGTGTTGCTATTTTTTTCCCACGGCTTGCATTCATAAATATGTAGGTGAATTTAGGGGAATTAATTTTACCCATCAACAAGAACTCGACACGATACAAAATTCAAAAATAACACGATTAATTAACATAAATAATAAATGGTCAAATGAAGGTTAGACATGAATAACACGATTAATAAGTATTGTATATAGAAAATAAGACTTTAACAAGTATTGTAGACAAAAAATAGATATTTTGTAATTTTTTTTTAAATTTTGTAAATAGTATTATTTGAGTTATTGTAGAATTAATTTTTTTTATTGACACAAATATTAATACTAACACGATACGTACTAAAAATGACATGATACCATCCACAATAAATTCATTTTTAGGTTTCTGTCAATTTTTTTGGCTTTTGTAGTACATTTGATTTTTAGGATTAAGACTACTCTTAGTACTCAAGACAAAGACAACTGTGATCGATTGTATTGTAACTTTGGTCAACTGTGATCGAAAAAAAATATTAGTTCTTGCTCGTAAGTATGTTTTTTTTTTTTCCCCACACTTTGGTTAGCTTGTTCATCTTCAATTTGATTCTATTACAGCATTGCATCGCAGCGCAGTATCAGATGATACGACGTAAAAAAAATGTTGAACATAATTCAAATCATATTGCGGTGTCGCAAAATCATATTAGCTGATTCAGTAATGATAATTCTACGATTTGAGATTGACTCAGATACGACTCAACCGAGTTGTACAAGACTCAAGATTTTTGAATATCATGTAACGATATAATCTCAGAAGGTGTAGAGTCAGATATAACTTAACCGATTCGTATCAATATCAACCGATACTTTGAACTATGTTCCCAAAGCATGTAACAGAATTCGTTGGGTTAATCGTCTGCATGGATAATATCACTTAATTGATGGTTAAAAAAAAAAAAATTCGGTACCGCAACCTTGTCCATTTAAGGAGTTGTACTTTCCTTTCTTGTGATCATTAATAAGTTGTTTCATTTTTCTTTTCTAACGAGGTACGACTCTTAGGATATGTCTCAATTTGTGTGTGTCATGCTAATCTTCTCTGTATCGTTCTAATTTTATCTAATGTCTTCGAAGGAACCTCTTACATTACGTCCCCTTATATCTTCTACTCATATATCTTGTCTGTAATTAACAGGTAGGGTTCTATGTCAAATCTCTTAACCCACCACTTAAGCGGTTTTTCGTTTGAAATAAATACTTGAGTAATGCTAGATGAAATTAAAAACTATACTTAAAAACTATACTTGATAATCTTAACCATTGAATAAATAGTGCATCTTAATAAATATTAGGACTCATAGTGAAATCAATGGTTAAATAGATAATGGACCCATGTAGCATTGCTCTAAATACTTTGTTACTCCGTTATTATGCATTAATGCTACCCGTAAAATGTACTAAAGGAGAAGTAAATGTTGTCGGTAAGAAACCTCCTTTCAAGGTGAAGATTCAAACAGGAGAGAATGAGCATGTTTGCGATTAACTTCTCACTATTTTTGGCTATTGAAAATAGGAGTATTAATCGAGTCGAACTTTGCGAGCTTGAATCCGAGTTCGTTAAGAGCATTTTTCTAAAAATTTGTTCAAACTTAACTTGTTTAAAATATGAGTCGAGTCTTATTCGAACTAAACTCAAATTGAGTTCAAATAACTTGTCCCAATTAACCCCCCTAATGGAAAAGGAAGGGTTGCCGTATAAGTTGACAATGGAGTCCATGAGGGACTCATTGGTCCTCCAATGGTTTCACAGTGAGGGTTTCATGGGTGTTGGACGGTCAGGATCAAGTGAAGACTTGTAAAAATAAGCAAAAGTCAAAACCCTTGCACATGTGCATTTAAGAGCCGACCATTCAATTCCTGGCCGTAGATTTTCTGTATCACTGATAAAGAAAAAAGTTGATGAGAACATACTGAGCATCCTGTGACCTTTTAGAATTTTGACATTAGATTGAAGTGGAGGTTGATATCAACCCAATCTTTCCCTACAATATTGGCATGCATTAAACCTTTTATGGTAGACAATCGTCTCAATCACGTGTCATTTAGAATTATGATTACAACATAAATTTTGGAATTGGTTAAATTCGAATTTTACGTAGTTCAAAACTAAGATTCAAACTTAAGACTTGTAGATTACGTGTCACCTCTTGTTCAGCCGCTTTACCAATCCTTGAAGATTGACATGTATCATACTTTACTTCAAAGCCCTTTGTCAATTTAAATCCAAAGATAACTCGACAAATTAAACAAATTTATGAAATATTTTTCTTTTCTTCCTGGCTTGTCTACTCAATTATGGTTAGCTTCTCTAATTCATGAAGTCTTGAAAACAATTTCAAAGGACAACTTCAAATGAGAGCCAATATGATAAGGGGAACTAAGCTTATGTGTCTTCTTTCGAAGGAGGGCAAAATCCACTTTCACTCTCTAAGGTACAAGAAAGAATACATCATAGAGTCATTACTTGGTAACATTATAAGCTCGTTTGGTTATTGTTTACCCCTAGTTCCATGATCTTCCTCACTCTTTACACTAGTTCACCTCGGTTTGGATTGAGATTTCCTCCTATACGTTTTCCCTCTCTCTTGAGTGAATTATCAACTATGAATTCAAGTAGAACCCATTAGACATAATGGATTCCTTATTAATTAATACATGATTGGTGATTTTTTTTTTTAGGGGTGGATGGGGGAGAAGGGGGAAGGGGTTGAGGTTGGAATCCACAATCACCTACAGACAGGGTGAAGCCCTTACAACCAAACAACTCTCTTATCTCACATCGTTGATGATCTACCAAAGAGAAAAATGAAGGAAAAAACATCGGAGGGAATTGAGATCCTCTCGGATCAACATATCTCTAATGGAGATCAAGTTGAAGCCTCTCTTATCTAAAGCTGCATCTTCAAAGGCATACTCTGATCAAAAAATTTAAATCTAGATCCTGACTGACAGGGCTGCAAGACAAATTCTATTGATCAGATTGATTTATAAAAACAACTAATCATAGAAAATGGCCGAAGAGAAGAACTAATTGCAGCAAGAAAATTGTGTTTTCTTTAATAACCCAGAAGCAGATCCTTTCATTATCCCAGTTTTAAGAATACTAATTAGTCTTAATCTCTGAACTTAATTTACTCCGACTTAGTTTAGATTGGTAGCGAACCCTATTCAATATTTAGAATTGCAGCTAATTAACTGTTACAATAAATTAAATCACCAAATTAGGGGAATAAATTGGGAGAAATATTTTGTAACCCAAATTTGCATCCCAAATGAGCGGAGACCATTGGACGAGTGAGTCACGTCAACTTTTTTAAATGTGAACTACTAATCTAATAGTCTTTATTGATTTGAGATATAAATTCGAGTTACATAACATTGCTCATAAATTAGAATGCAAGTAGCTCTAATCTTTTGAGTTTTCTCAGATGACTGCATTTCTCAGATATGCCCAGTAAATGGTTCACAAAATACAAATAGTTCATGCCCTAAAAAGAGAAAGAGGAAATTATTTCCAGTACATAAAAGTATATACTACTAGTAATTAATTTACACTTCCAGCTGTATTCATACAGGACTGATCAACTTTTTTCAGCTCGGGATTGAAAATTCCTTTTAGGGCTTGAACTACTGAAAGTAAAATCTACCAGTTCGAGGCCTATAACTCAGAAACATGAGTCCTCCTTTAGAACAACTCGGCAGTTTCCCCCAAGGACATGTCCAGTAGGTCTTCTTGTCCTTGTACAGCACCATCATCAAATAGCCATTTCTCTAGTAAAGAGAGAGGCACATGACCCTCCATATTTGGCTTACTTTCTTCATCTTGGAAAATGTTAGTTTCAGATAGAGATGCAGCAGAATTGGAAGAATTGAAGCTAAACAATGAGTCAAAAGACTCGAAATGCTCCGGTGTCATAGCACTAAGTGTCTGTCCACTGGGACTAGACCTTGATCGAACTGTGTTGGTGAATGAATTTTGAGTATTTTGACTGTTTTCTGAGCTTGAAAGAGAGGATTTTGGTGATTTTTTCACCCAGTTTTCAAGCAACCGAGCTATATTTTCAGCACTTGATGCATAGGTGGATGTTTGGACTGGTCTGGTGTGATCAAAATGGCCATTAAAGGGCTTTGAGTCTGGCAAATTGGTTGATTTATCATGGGACAAAGCCTCACATAGAGCTTGTTTGGCCCAGTGGATATCTGCTTGAAGCCTTCTCTCCCACTGACCCTTTGAGATTGACTTTGAAACTGAGTCTTCATCTTGATTGTGTTCTTCATGGCCTTCAAGCTTTTTGAGCTTCTTTTTCAAATGGGTATTCCAATAATTCTTTATATCATTGTCTGTTCTCTGAGGAAGGTAGGAAGCTATGGCAGCCCATCTGCGTCCAAAGAAAAACCTATTATTAGAAGGAATCGCTATATAGTAGCATCACAATTTCATCCACAAAGATAATAAAAAATACAAGATTTGGAAAAACCTATTGTTAGAATGCATTTTGTATTATATACTAGAAACTGCCCTTGCCTAAATTTAGTGTATAACACAAAAATGAATCGCGATTTGGAAATTTTTTTTGTTAGATCCAATCCATTTCAGGAAAGTAAGATCTTACATGAGCTCAGTTTTTCTTTTCTTTTTTTAATTTGGGTTTTTTTTTGGGGGGATTTAAAATTTAGCCTTTCTCACTAACTACACATACCATTCATCGTGTTTGTTGGCATTCTCTCCCGATCCCCTCTGAGTTCAACTGATTAGATAATTTCTTTGAACGAAAGGGGTTGATGGTAAAGGGTTAGGGTAGGAGTTTAAGTACCTGTTGCCTAGGAGAGCTTGGAGGTGGATTATCATCTTCTCTTCATCATCAGTGAAGTTACCACGTTTGATCCCCGGCCTTAGATAATTAGTCCATCTAAGCCTGCAACTCTTGCTACATCTGAGCAACCCTGAAAAAGAGAGAGAGAGAGAGAGAGAGAGAGAGCTGTGAATACAACAAAATCACACAAAAAATTGATTTAACTGTATTAGCTCATTGAGGAAGACGATGCTGGAGCTTCAGAATATTAAAGACTCTACTTTAATGATCATGAATAACCCAAACCAACCCAAAACCAAAAAGAGAAAAAAGGAGAAAGATTAAAGATTAGAATTGATTGAAACTTGTCAGAGGAAGCTTTTTTTACCAGTATTAGTAGGAACAGATCTCCAATTCCCAGGTCCATATTCTTGAATGTGAGAGACCAAGGTGATGTCCTCTTCAGGTGTCCATGGCCCTTTCTTCACACCAATTTTGTCACAGCAAGGTGGTCTACCCATTCTACCTTAAATCTTTCTCTCTCCAACCCTCTCAAAACAATTTGGTTTTCAACAACAAGAGTCTTCTCTCTCTCTCTCTCTCTCTCTAGGAGCTCACAGTTTTCTTCTACTTGGAAGAAAAGCTGAGACAAGCGTCTAAGGCAAGTGGTACCCTTGTCTACATGTACATAATTTATAGAGAGAGAGGGAAGACCTATGACCCAAGCAGAGGTAAAATGGTAATCCCAAAGAGTCAAAGTGGCCAACAATGAGCATTTACTCATTTGCTTACAAAAAGTCAACTCTATAGATCTTAAGATTCTTTCGTCCTCTTTCCGACTCACTATACCGCGTGGCATTCAATGGCAATGCTGTTGTTCTGCTCAGAAAATCCTAATTTTCATATTTACCATTCCATGAAAAAGCACATTTTATAAGCAACTTATTCAAGTTCGATACTAGTAAGGATGGCCATTTTTGAGGCAAACACGACTCGAACTCAAGTGGATAAATCCGATATTGACCTGGCCCGTTAACATAAGTAACAAATGGGTCGGTGTCAAATACGACTCCATTTCAACATGACAAACATGTTTAATTGTGTCTTAGCAAGACTTTCCATTTTTTGACTTAGTGTTGAATAAATAATTCTAAAATTTGATTGAAAAAATGATCATTTCTTGAGATTTTAGGTTCATGTCAGTTGAACCCAATACGATCTTCACACAATCAATATTACACAATTCGAAATGACACGATCCAAATATGACATAACATTGGATAATAATCATTGACTTCCACTCTTTGCTGTCGGTAAATCTGAAGTTCTTTTCAAGTGATTGACGTCTTCATTCTTGTATCCTTGTGGTAATGTGCCATGGCTCCATGCAATGTCTGTTCCTGAAATCTCAGCTTGCCTGATCATGGCCAATGAAAAAGGTGGGTTATGGGACTTTTTTTTTTTTTTTTTCCTTTTTTTGCTTGGAGGTTTTGGGACTGGTTATGTGTGTAGTATACCAGTTATGCCATTTTTGAGAAGGTACTAATAAGGGAGGAACTATCTAACTTACGACACCTTACTTGTATATCGCCATGAATGAGTTGAACTAATTTTTTATTTTCATTAGAGTCCCATAAGAGATAGGCCCTTCAAATAAATATACACGTCCATCCAAATTCACTTCTCATTTAATTTGAGGGTTGTCCCTTTGGTGACATCCTATAAAATTGGAACGATACATAACAGATTAGCATGGTCTCTGCTTAAGGATGGCACCTAGAAATTGAGAAATGATCTTTTAATTTGAGGGAGAGAAAGTACTTGTTTGGGGTTAGAAATTGATCAAGAAATTTTTGCATAAACTTGAAACACACATAGAGAGACCAGAGAAAAAGAGAAAGAAGGAGAGGGAGAGGGAGAGGGAGAGTAGGTAATACATTTATCATGTCCCAATAGCTTCAAATGATAACTTTCAATTATATTATATTTATATTTTACCTTTCGATATGCTAGGTTCGATGTACCGATCACGTGAAGAGTGAATGCACAATATGGGCATGAGCATCTCGGCATTTGTTGTTGAACAACGACTAGGAATTGCTAATTCTACCAAATAATTTGATAAAGTCGTCAAATAAAAATGGTGTTTGAGAGAGAGAAACTTTGATCGATATTTCCTCCGTAATTTTCTGTTAATTTTTCTCAATAATAAATTATCTATCATATATTAAGGAAAGATTCACTATATATATACACACATATAGTGCATCACACTGCATGTAACAAATCAATAATGGAAATTAAAAGATCGTGTATTGGACGTGATCAAAATTATTATTTTGATCATGGGTCAATTTGGCACGGTGTACAATACTTCTTCTAATACGCAATATGATACTTCGTTTTATAACTTTTATATTGAATAATCCATCTATATACAAATAGTTATTAAATATTTATTTTATTGTTCTAATAAGTGTTGTCAAAATATGGAAGATTTCGATACGGGTTGGGGTTAGTATCTGGGATTACTTAGATTATGAGTTATTTTACAGTTTGAATTATAATTTGAGAGCGAGCGATTTAGGTCTTGGACTAATCACCTTTCAAGGTTTGTGACTCTGGTTAATTGGACCCTAGAGATATCTATGACCCCGATATTTTATCCAAATTTGCAAAAGTTAATAACACAAAACTGTTAATAACCCAGATTTTTCAGAGAGATCCTATTAAAAGCAACAGTTATAGTCATTGTTATCATGTGCCATAATACATGTAACAAGACTAGCAATAATCTCGTACCCGAAAACACTCTATAATATCAAAAATTAAACATTGTGTAATATTTATATTTTAAATAATAATTTATTTTTTTTTTCATTTTCTTCTAACTACGCAATCTAAAATTAAAATAAACAGAGAAAAATAAGAAAGAAGTAGGAGAGAGAGATAGGTGTAAATTAATGAAATTATCTGACATTGAGAATATGTTGGTTGAGTTCTTTGATATTAAGGGTCGTGTAGAAAAAATGATATTTTTGAACAGGAAAAAAAATTTGGAATGAATTTTCTATCATTAGATCAACGAAAATTAAATTAATATTAATCGTTGTTGTGTTTTTATAAATTGAGAATTCAATTTTTTAACTATAATATTATATAGATGGTCCTAGTTTAAGCATTTGAGAATTGTAAATTGTCTAGTTTAGGCATGAACTATTTTAAAGAAGAACAAAAAGTTAGAAGACCTTCAACCAATCTAATCCACGTGCCTAATTAAATTTTGAAAGGGAGTAAACATTATTTTTCAAATAATTTAAATGGATTTTTTTTTTTTATCGTTGTGATATTTAGTGTTTTTTTTTTGTTTTTGTTTTTGTTTTAGGGTGTTCAATCTTGCGTCGACTACTCTATCGAATTTTGAATCGATCACCGTAACTCGAACTAGTATTGTGATATTTAGTGTCGATTATTGAATAGGACCCCCTTTTTTGTAGTAAAGATCATGCTAAATCATTAGTTGTAAGGTTAAAAATATGTGGTTGCATGTGTGATAGAAAACAAAATAAAACTAAGAAAAGTCAGCACTTTCCATTTTGTTCTTATATTTGATGTGTATTATGTTAGTTAACGGTGGTGCAGTGGCGGAGCCACTCTTGGGACAAGGTGGGGCAAGTGGCCCCTGCCATTTGCCTTGCCCACTTGACATCTTAGTACATATAAAAGACTTAAAGATAATTTCACTTAGTGCCCCTCATTAAATTTGAATGGTCATTCAAATGAGTGTTCCTTGTCAGTCTTGGGTTTATTTTCGATTCAAGTGTAACTAGCACCTACTTTCGGACACGGATGGATCGTCTTTCAGGACAGAACTCACCTAACAAGAGCAGTAAGCCAAAAGATTAGTCGTAGTAGTTTATATATATGTGTATACAAATTAAATCTATACATAATATGGACTATAAATAAAGTTAGATTAATTAGAGAATTTTAATATGTAATGAAAATTTAAGATTTAAAGCCGTCCACATTCCTAATTTAAGCTAAGAACAATAATACTCGTCCATTTACATTACCGTAAAATTATTTTCTATATTTTTTAATATATTAATCTGAAAAATAAGTGATTTTTATAGATGTAGCTAATTAAAAGAATCAAAACTAGTATTTAACTAGTTGATTTTTCTAGAAATAATAAGTAGTTAGAGATAATGAGTAATCAGCCAATCTCATCTTATTTTTCCTTGTGGTAGTAGATTATCTAGCAATAAATGGAGAATGATGGGTTTGGTCCCCTCTCAAATGTCTATATTAAACTAAACCCTACTTTATTCTATTTTTACTGTTAATAACTCTCTCTTTAACCGCACTTAAGCAAAATTTAACCGTCTATAATTATTCTAATTTCTGTCATTCTCTTTCCTCATCTCACTTATTTGTAATCATGTCAAAGGATTGAGGGTGTCAATTCAAACCCGTTAATACGAATCCGACACCAATGATTAAAAGAGAACTCCCAATCAAAGACTAAAGTCATATTCCTATGCGTCTCTACTTCAATATCCAAATTATAATTGTCATGGATATCCACACTTGAGACAAAATAACAAATATTTCAATAATTATTAGATGTTTATGTTGCATATATCTAATATATATTCTTGAATGTTTGGTACCGTAAATAAACCTTCTCAGATTGTAATATACACTAAAGCAATATTTGATTGTTATTTATTTTCTATTCTTTTGTTTCACATAATATCAGAGATTAAGTTCAGGTCAAATATAGTATACTATGTGGTTGTCCTGCGAGGGATCCTCTTCATCAAAACTCTTAAAGTTCTTCTCCTTCCCACCATCCTCCGGCAATCTCTTCCGGTCATTCTTCTGTGACTTTTTGGTCGTCGTCCAATAACGTTCCAATTTCCTCTCGGTCATCCACCGGTGGCAGTTGACGATTTTTCGATCGTCCTCCTCCGACTATCCTCCAGCGGCATTCCAATCGCCTCCCTGGCCATCCTTTGGATGTCCTTCGACAACTTTTCGATTGCCCTCAAGCGATGTTTCGACTTGCCCCAGCCAATATTTCGTGCTCATTCTAGACTCATTGAGTCCATTAATACAGATATTCCGACCTATATGTAGCATCCATAATTTATTGTGAAAGAAGAGAAAGTCTTCTAGAACGTTTATGAGATGTGAAGTTTTGTACTACAATATTTCTTGTGGAGAATTTAATGTGATCTATCTACCCAGAAGAAATAAACAGAAGCGTGAAAGACTTGGTGTTGAGCTCTTAAATTAAGAACCCTTTTTTTTGATTGTTTGTTTGTTTGTTTGTTTGTTTGACTAGTTCTTACTTATTGCAGCATGATTTATTGGCCGGGCAGTACTGGACGTGGACTCACCACATTGTGGCATACGTTCACCCTTGCATCATAGACACCTACACCATGTGGCATTCTTGACACAAAATAATAAATAGGGTTGAGTTTGGCTTCTTTTTTTTTTTTGGCAAATTAATTCTATTGTCTAGTGGTCCTAAAGAAGCATAGACTAGAACAAATTTTGTTTCTATTAGAGGGAAGGAAGCAAAGTTGCTTTTGTGTACCACTTTACCCGATAAAAAATGGGTCATTAATTTTCCGGTTTGGTCCATTTTG